CTAAACATACCATTTTGACACTGATTTTAAGGGTCAAGTTTGGGGGTCGGCTTATAGACAGTAATATACGGTAGATGGTTCCCTTCAAAATTGGGGAACACAGCACTGAAGTATTGGCATGGCTATGGGCTGAAGAAGAGAGGTTTCTTCATATCAACCAGCAAGAGTTTTAAAGCAGTATCTCATTGGACTCAACATCTCAGAAACAAGTTCCTCATGATTCCCAAAGACAATGCTATGGTTGCTTTTGACATCAATTTTCCAGGCACAACAAGGTCGGCAAGCCTGACAGACAGAATGGATGTTACATCCCAATGCATTTCACCTGGCAGTACAGGCGCGAGGTTGTCCGTTAATAGGTCTTCATACAAATCCATTCTGTATGCGTGGTCCTGTGCATAGAGCACAGGTCACAGATCAGTTTCACGCTGAAGACCCGTGGTGATATTGCTAGAATATTGCTAAAAGCGGCGTAAAACTCACTCACAAATCAGTTCGAGTTAAGCAACATTGGGCGTGGAGAGTCTTTGGATGGGTGACTGTGTGTAGCAGCTGAACTCCTGATTGTTGTGCGCTTTGAGAAAGGGATTAAGCCTCAAAAGGCTAGTTACAAATATTTCATTATCATTATTCACCTGTGCTCAATTGATAAGTATTACTGAAAATCAAGGAACCTGAAACTGACTTTGGTAGCAGCTCATTGGCTGTTGAAAACCTTCATCCAAGAACAGAATGTTTCGAGTTTCACGTATGGAACATATGAGGAATTGCCTTGTCAGACGAGTATATTCAGCTGGAGCATTTAAGGCTGTTTCTTCAGCACTCAGGCTGCCGTTGTACAAAAGAACCTTAGAGCTAAGATGACCTTATCTCCTTAATGTTTTAACGTTAGGTTTTCGCTGAGGTTGACATCGAGTTGGATGAATCCACCTTACGCTGAGGTTGCTCTAGTTGAGGATGAAAATTTACGGTTTATCAGTGTTCACGAATGGTGTTTCAAAGTCACAGGACATTGGGTCCTGTATGTTTCAGATGTCTGTCTGACACATTGAAAATGCACAGGACCCATGGAATAAAATTAAACACACATTTCAGATTTAATATTTCTTATAATTGACATTGAAATTATTAACAATCATAAGATTTATCAACAGCAAACAAGTGTCACATGTCACATAAAACAACTTCAGTCAAAGTCATTGTGAAATATACAGTCAGACACTGGGGCCGGCGGGTTGTAGATTCTGTCTGACCGTTGGCAAATCTACCGGATTTGTCAGAGGGTCAGACTATTCGTGAACACTGGTTTATTGCAGAGATGCCAACCTCTATGATTTTATTGTAGTCGCTACTAATTTTAGCCTCAAACTACACCAATACAATTGCACTAGCAATTCTACGAAAATGGAAGAAAATTCATTAAAATTCAGAAAAAACAGTCAAATACATATATTTTCACCGATTGAATACATTTTCACCAAAGAGAGACAAGAAGAAGAAATGTAATGTTGATAATTTGGAATCTGCTGTGAGGTTTGTGAAATTAAAGCTTCACTCTTGATTAGTGTCATATTATCTTTCTCATAGTCCATAATGATTTTAACTTAAGTATTTAGTTGACTGCTAATTTTATAGTCAAACTACTAATTTTATTCTTTGAAACTACTATTTACATCACTGCGGGGTTGGCAGCTCTGTTATCAGCATTTCTGACTTATTCTCTTGCAAACAATGAAATCAATAAAAACAAATAACAATATGCAGATTACATCACATGTTTATGGACAAGCATTCCCTCAATCAAGGTAAGGTCCCTCGCAAAATCCTGCATGCTGATGTCGATTCTTGGCAGTGATGCCATATGTCACGTTGTTGTACATATTTAGCAATTTCTTTGAGGTGAAGGTCGGTTGAATAAGTAAACACAATCACCCTTTCCGGCTGCTAACACTTTCTCAGTATTATAATGTATATGTTGCGTATTTTTCAGATATCTTTTAACAAAACTAATTTCCTCATCAACGTTCATCCTCGATAATCTCCAGGGTATACGTTATGATAAATCTCCACTATACCCTGGATGCATCTACGGCTCGGCCCCATGATTTTATTACATCCCTTGGCTGTCTTTTTATCCAATCAGGTGTCTACGATGGGAAGTTGAGCGTACCAGTCACAACTCACTTTTGCTTCTTTTATTGAACCGATTAAACTTGGCAACATAATTGTTGCAGAGGTACTTTGATAGAGGTAGAAAGAGTTCTTGCATATAATTTTACATGTTTCAAACCTGTCAATTTGTCTGTATGACTTTCCCCCAAATCTGAGTCACACTGTGAACAGCTGCGACCGCTATCTTTGTTGACACTGGCCAGCTCGGTTCTAACGGTGCTTAGCTGATTGGCTACTGTGAGCATGTGGAGCCAGCAAAGGGAGGTAATAAAATTATAGCCATAGATGCATCCAGGGTACTAAAGTACTGTCGGAAATGCTAGAAAAATGCTTTTTGACTTATATTTAAAATTCAGAGGTATTACAGTTACTTAAATAACAAATATCACTTTAAGAAACATCTACCTAATGTAGACCGAGGGAATAAATTTTGAGACATGCCCTAAAATGTGTTTTTACTGATGAAAATACCCAAAACTTAGAAAAATAACGGGTAGTGGGACGTTATTTGATACAAACATTAACTGCCTGTGTAACGTCATCAGCATGCACGGTATCGACAGGTGAAATTGACACCTGAGCACACGCTCGGGGGAGGGGTCATCTCAATAGATGTTTTCTTCAAAATGTTGAATATGTGTACGTATAGTATACGTATTGGTTATGTAGGAGATCATTTGTGCATTTGTGTATATGTGTTTGTTTTGAAATAAACATACTAATTACTGTACATTGGAAAGAATCCTATCACTTGTGTTATCTTATCGATTGATTGTAGAAATGTGCAACATTTTAATAAGTGTTTTGCATGTCAACAGTATATTTCATTGCAAAAATATGGATGTAATTTGGTCAGTTTAATCTAGTTGTGAACATTGGCCAAAGATTGAACGAAGTCACTGGTGTAGCTTCTTTAGAATATATATATTCTTCTTCTCCTAAAGTTTGTAGACCACCCGTCTAAGTACTCCCTTGTCAAAGTTGTCAAGGATGGTTTTACGCCCCGGTTTTGGTTTTGAGACGGTCCCTGTCTTGTCTGATTTGTTTACAATATTGGAAACTTGTTGGTAAGACATACCAACAGCTCTACACGTACTGTAATAAACCCTTTCTAAACTAATGAAAGGTTTACCTCTGTCTTTTTCAAGCCCAAAAAACTTACAAACCTTTACAACAATTGACTGCAAATAGTTGGCCATAGTGGACGCTGTGATAAAGATGTGCATGCATGACGGGAAACATATTTATCAAGACTTAACATTTATATTAATATTTCTTCAATAAAGAAACGATAATTAAGTAAAGTAATACAAACATTCAACATTTATTTGTTTAAGAAAAACGTTAATTTATATTTTTACACCACCTGTATTATTAACATAAATGTAAAGACTATTTCAGATTTCTGTTGTTGAACTCTGAAAAAATCTTAAGTTGTTGTTTTGGTACCATATTCTCTCCTGTAAACTGCCCTTTAAATGCATGGGAATGTTAAATCGATTGAAAAAAAAATTAGGTACACTACAGGCGAGTTGATATATTGACAACATAATACATTTATCACCTTTATCAAAGTATTAAGGCTAAAAAGCATTTTTCTAGCATTTCCGACAGTACTTTAGTGGAGATTTTATCGGAACGTATACCTGGGAGATTATCGAGGATGATCAACATTTAGCCTTGTTAATATCCTATCATACAAGGAAGGATTTTCAGTTAGTTGTATATAAAGTGTGTAACAAGCTCGTCATTTTGCTGATTTCTCGACATTTTCATCGAGTTAATAAATCAAAACTACTTACCAGTTGTAGTAAAATATGTATATGATTGATGACCAATAGGATTTTGCATGACATAGCTTATAGCCATCAATCAAATACATATTTTACTACCAGTAGAAAGTAGTTTTGATGTTGTAACTCGGTGGGAACAAACCTAAATAGAATTTATTCTCAGACTGGCAGATGTTCGCGACAGGTCGCCTCCATTTTTAAAAATCGTGACGTCACAGCTAAAATCTGTTCGAGAATCAATGAGATTATGGTTTGTTTTCATAAAGATAAAAAATAAAAACTACTTTCTACTCGTAGTTAAATATGTATTTGAGGGGGTCGAAGTGACAATATTGCGCGATAAATTTTTTGCTACATTCACGTGTTTACGTCTACTCACCACAAGTCGATATTCTTCCTATAACACTGATGAGCGAGGCTGATCATCATTTTCACTATCACTAGCGTCTGGCTTGAACAAATAAGGCCTAGCGATTGTTTCTTCATTGAAGATTGAATGGAAAGATTGTCGCTGTCTGAATTACTTCCAGACATGTCAGAGTCTGCCGAGACGCGCCCCTCTTATTGGTTGAAATTTCATTGTCAAAAAGGTTGATTTAAGTTAATCAAATGTTGAAATGAGTAGTTTTAATGATGGAGTTTCATTTATGATGATGCCAATAAATTATTTATGTATTTGTACCCCACTAGAGTATATGTGATCTTAAAGATGTGACCAACCAGCCATGAAAATCTTGAAATTTTTTTTGGCAAGTAGTGGAAAGTTACTGCTCATGATCCTTTCACCCTTACATTGGGTAATACATGTATATGAGTATAGGGAGTATTAGTTATAACAACCTCTCAGATTTACATATGAAAAAGGAATGTGTATGGTCAGAATGGTCACTTTGTGATGAGTATAATGTAAATTGATTTTCTTCGATGAATTAGTAATACATGTACAAGGAAAACATTTGACAGGAATATGTTACTTAATGGTAAATTTGTGAGTACTTCACGTGACTTTAAAATGTTTTCCTATCTTTTTTGCAGCTCTCCAAGTGTAGCAAATAGACAGCTATCTATCCAAGTGTACCAGGAAAGCTATGTAAGTGTACCAGAAGGACAGCTATCCAAGTGTAAAAGAAGCAAAGCCGTCCAAGTGTACCAGGATAGCTCTCGAAGAGGAACAGAAGGATAACTCTCGAAGAGGAACAGAAGGTCAACTATCCAGCTGTAACAGGACAGCGAGCAGGACAACTGCTCAAGTGTAACGGAAGCACAGCTATCCATGTGTAACTAGACAGCTATCAAGGTGTTACAGAAGGATAACTCTCAAAGAGGAACAGAAGGACAGCTATCCAAAAAAAACCAGAAGTGTTTTCTAAGATAAAAAAGAGAGAAAGGTTAACATGGTTACTTCATAACTTGCAGGAAGTCTCAAAGCAGTGTCACTATTGCAATTCTCATTATTCTTCAGGATATCTTCACATTCAGCAAATTTGAGTACATTTAATCTGTCAGACATATTCCACGGAGTTGCTGTAAGAAAACAAAGTCATGGAACATATATTTCAGCTGACTTGTTGAGGACTTCATTCAGTAAAATTCTACTTCTATTGGTGGGTAATGACTTTTGCTACGGAAATAAGCAATGGCAGAGTTGTTGTTTAAGGTTATAATAATTGGTGATCCCACTGTAGGAAAGACATCATTTGTGCAGCGGTATGTGAATGATTCGTATCGGAGGGATTACAAAATGACAATAGGCGGTAAGTAGAATTTAGAAGAACATTCAGATAATAACACAATTTCAAAACAAAAAAGATTTTCCCCAAATTGACTGCCAGGGCTCTTACTATTTATAATATACACATGGAAAATACTATGATTTTTAACCCCTGTATAGCCATATATATTCATGTCATGATTATGTTTGAACAGCTGCAGAGATCAGTCTAGTGGTGCCTTTTACTGATACTGGATGTTTCTTATCTTGATTATTTAATTTGTACTAATCCTGACTCATAGTAATTGCTTCTCTCTCCTTTCTTCTGAGATGAAGTGGAAACTTTCTTTTCTCCAAGAAATGAAAAATACTTGCATGTACACCAGACCAACATGACTCTTCATTTTCACCCAATAGGATGATTTGGAAAAATATTTTTCTGGTTTAATCCAAGCCATCTTTTCAAAATTGATCACCTTTATTGGAAACTTTGGCTTAGATTAACATTTAAGTCATCATATCTACTAGTAATTTTTTCAAGGTGGGGAATACTTACCACAGATCGAAATAGTGCTTAATTCAATAAATACTAAAATTAGATGGATGAAATTTTCAATGTGCCTTGGTGGCATGACTAAAATTATAAAATTATACACACCATGATTCATTTAATGGATAATGTGATTCATTTGACCAACTAAAAAGATTGAAAACCTGTCTTTGCATCCTATCAAACTGTTTATCAGTGGTACTCTCAATCTCACAGCTTAACAAGGATGTAGCCATTTTGAACGCCAGTGCGCATAACAGGAAATCCTGTTTTTGATGATAACGTTGTTTCTGGGTTAGTTTATGGGTCCAAGACAAATGAAGCTAATACCCCCTTCACACTTGAAGCCGAATGAGCTGGAATGCTGTCGGAATGAAAATTCCTGGAGATTCCTGGAAATTCAAACTGCATTGTAACACTTCTTACAGCATTCCGAATACATTCCAACTATTAGGGTCAATTCTTGTAACATGCCCGAACGTTTTTAACATGTTCAAAACTTTCGAGGTGCATTCGAAATATATCAAACGGCATTTGAAGTGCATTCTGACTGCATTCTTAGTATTCTTACTGCATTCTAAGTATTCTGAACATATTCGAGAGAGAATCGAAAAGGCATTCTGTCAGAATGTGCCTCAATTGAGTCGGAATGTATCTCGTTTGCTGCTGGAATTCAGGTGGAATATTCTTCAAATGTTCTGAACTATTTCGATTGCAGTTGAAATACAGCTCAAATGTACATCGAATACACCTCAAATACAGTCAGAAGGTCAGAACGTCTTCAAATGAACCCTGACATCATCAGAACACTGCCAAATCAGATAGCATTTCTGCTGCTTCTTTCCAGACTTTTTTCCTCCTGCAACATGCTGCACATCTTCAAGCTGCGCAAGTTTTCTCCAGGCTCCAACATGCTGCTCATCTTCTTCATCCACCATACCATTGTGGAGATTAGGATAACGGATCCTCATCAAGTTGTACAGGCAGACACTGCATTCAATGATGTCCTTAATCTGATGGCAGCATGATGGTGAGGAAAATTTGCCATCTCTGGGCCATGATTCCAAATGCATTCTCCAATACCCATCGGCCCCTGAAGATTCTGTACTTGTAGATTCTGTCGTCACGGGTGTGAAACCAATTTCCAGTTTCCCCCGCTGAGATATTACTGGAATGTTTCTAAAAGCAGCGTAAAACCATATTCATTCACTCACTCACTCTTTGGTGAGTCCTATGACCATAAGGTTTCATCAAGAAGGTCCTTATTCCAAAGGCATCATCCTGAATAAAGCATGGCATATGCTCATCATCTTGGGGTAAGTGGAATGGATCAGGAAATCCTGTGCTCCCGTCTTAAAGACAGGCCTTGAGCTCTCACTCGTTGAAGATCTGAGCATCCGATATACTTCCGTAAGCACCCGAAGTCCACCCACAGACACTTGTAATTTCCATCCCCAAGGGCCATGAGGACCACAGAAAAGAAGCCCTTGTAGTTGTGGTAAAATAAGATGCTCTTAGGAGGTTTCCTAATGGCTACATGTTTGTCATCTAAAGCTATTATGGTATGAGGAATATTCCACCTGTTTCTGAAGACCTCTTCAATGGGTGCACATTCTTCTGGAGTGGCAGGGCAGATAACCCCATCCTTGTATTCCTCCACAATGGCCTTGCGTACTTCTGGGATGATTAGGCTGACGTGTTCCTTGTCACGCGGAAGCTGTACATGATGCTGGGGTACCTATCACCTGAAGCCAGAAACCTCAATGTGATAGCTAGCTTCAACCCTGGAGGTAGTGCCTTTCTCATATACGTATCCTGCTTCTGTATACTTGACCCCACTCTATGCACCAACTCATCAAACATAGCAGACTCCATCCTAAGGTAGTTGAAGAAAGACTGCTGGTCTTCAGCTCTGAGTTCCTCCATCAGTCTTGTGTAATGTCCATACAGCTTCCTCCTCTCCTCTGTCAGCCATTGTCTGGTCTGGAATCTCCTGGGTCTTCTCCTGTTTCTTCCCCTGGCCTCCTCCACGTATCTTTCAATCAGGTCTTGCTGGAGGACACCAATCTGGAGCAACGCATCATGGTCTAAGGGGTCCATACTCTGTGGGAGTTGGGCAGAGACTGATGAATAGTCTAGATAGGTTTTATACCCCATCGTGGAACATTCCTGCATAGTAGTATAGGGAATAGCGGAACAGGAACGGTTAGGTGCACCATGCCTAGGAGCTCCATACTAGCCAATTAGGCTCCCACAGCCACTAAAAAATTTGTGTTTTTTCACAAAACTATATCGAACCAATTTCCGTCTCCCGACGCAAGTTCACTCGAATTAGAGATATGCGGTGTATGGATATAGAAGAAAAAATGCCAGGAACCAAGCTATCGCGCGAAGCCTATGCCGAGATCCGATTGGGTCGTTTGTCCCCTCGGGAAGCGAAGAGGAAGTACCACATATCGCAAGCCAGATATACACGAATCAAAGGTGGTATAGACCCTGAGCCACAGATGACATCATCTGACATGGCAGAAGTGATGTGAGGTGAGATGAAATTGGGTTTAATGTCGTGCTTGAGAATATTTCGCTCATATGACGATGTGCATGCGTGTGTATGTGTATGTGCGGCTGCTTGTACTAGCCCAGACTTAAGCTGGTTTTATAGTGCTAGCCCACTGAGATACCATGCCGCAGTGAAGCATGAATACCCCACTCAGACACATTATACTGACTCCGAGCCGACCAGTCCTTGTTGTACCCATTAATGTTGAGAGCCAGACAGGGACCAACAAGTACCATATTTTAATGTCTTTTGGTATGATGCGGTCGGGGATCGAACCCGCGACCTTGCGCTCTCCGGGCGGACGCTCTAACCACTGCACCACGGAGGCGGTTGTTAGGGTAAGGGTTAGGGTTATTTTCATCTCAGTTTTATATTTTTTCACCTTTCCGCTCTCGCATCACGTGACCTAATTAAATATGGCAGGCAGGTATCCGGTATAATGCAGGTGTACCTCTAAGTATTCCAACGGCATTCTTACAAAGCTTGAAAAAAATGTTTATTTTGACATTCTCTCCTGAATGCGGTTCAAATTTTGGAAATATTTTTCTTCTGGCTGATTCTCCTTGATTCCTTTCATTTCGAAATAAGTGCGAAGGTGCCTTAAACTATTCTTGGAGTCTTTGTCGTGTTTAGCAAATCAAGTTAACATGTTAACAAGCTGTTTATTTGTTAAACAATAAATTGAAATGACAATTGTTCTGATGTTTTAAGTTTAACTGGATCATCAAAAAGTATGGGCACCGTTATTTTCACCAGGGCACATTGAAATTGTCTGTTTGGTGCCCTATGGCACCCTTCAAAATAATTTAATTTCTATGCCTTACTTAGTGAAAATTTTCACTTATTTACAACCCCTAATCTTCTTAATAAACGCTGTTGCATCTGTAATCAATGTGTTTTCGATGGAGATCCACACTGAACTTGTTCAACATGTGTACTCACACATTGCAGTGTAGATTGCAGTGTCTCTTTGTGCGCAGGTGTCTTGCACAACAGGTGCTAAAGTAATTTGATATGTCTTTGTACAGGTCTTGATGTCTTTAGAACAAGACTAATCAAAAAGAATCTGCAGCGATGAACATGCAGCATGTCATTTCAGTTTGAAATGGGATTTCATTGTAAAGAATGATCAACCTGGACAATCAGATAGACAATTGTCATATCACAACATCCTTATCCTTAATAGGATCAGAGGACACCGAAGACTTGTCCTTATGCCCTATAATGCATTACACATCTGTCTTCAAATAGCAACCTGAAGAAGATGAAGATTTAACAGAGGATTTATCCCTGGGTCAAGGCATATTTCTCAGAAGTCTCCTGAACACTTATCACTTTATCAATCCTAATTCTGGAAGAGAGTAGTTTACAGAGCAGCAAGGATAGATCATCCTTCCGCTTCTAGTCCTCATGAAGACCGAACCATTGTGTCCACGTTAGCTCTGCGTGGCTACTGCTTCGTCACATTTATTATGGAAGGGTGTTTCTGGAGATACTATACTGTCGCTGCTAACCACTATCTCAGAGATATTGCTGGCATTCATCAATTTCGTCCATGCCTCCTGTTTTACAAAGTAATTCAGAGCATGAGTGATATGATTCAGTTAAGTTAATCATAAGATTCTTTCTCTTCACATTGCCAAGAGGTTATGTGAACAAATCACAATTTCAAATTTCGGTGACTACCCACCAACTTCTGATAGATTCAAACATTTATGAATCACTGGCTTGAATAGACACTGAGGTCAGTGTGCAGGGAGGGGGTGTTCAGGTGAGATGGGTTTTTTTCTGTTCTTGAGTAACACAACAGAGAATGTTCCACTATATCTCTGGAGAAAGAAGAGAGAAACAAGTAGTTTGAGTTATGATAAGTATAAAATATTATTTTTACGTGTAGGATAAGGCACGACTCTGAGGTTATGGTTGGGAAAGTAAGACCCGAGACCGGAGGGTGGGGAGAAGTAAGCGAAGCCCTCGAGGTCTTACTTCTCTCCACCCGATGGTCGAGGGCTTACTTTCCCAACCATAACCAAGGAGGAGTGCTTTATTTTACAAATAAACCGTCAATGATGGATAATGAGATGATCATGTAATGAAGCTACATAACAATAACTGAAGCACTAATAAAATCAATTTAATGACAGTAACTATAAATAGATAAATTAAGCCTTGCGTCTTTGACGGCTCGGTGGCCGTGAGATAGAGCGTTAGCTTTATTACATGTCAGATGCAGTTCCAATCCTGCTTGGGAAAACATTTGCAAATTGATCATTGGTGATATTTATCAATTGATTTCAAACACTCACATATTATCTGAATTTGAATGTTAATGTTAATATAGAGTAAGGAAAAAGTAAAACCTTGGAAGAGGTCCTACTTTCAAAAAGTAAAACCTGGAAATAGGTCTTACCTAACAAAAAGTAAAACCTGGGTGCAATCAAAAACCTCAAATGCGGTTATTCCGGGAAAAGAAGCCATGTCTAATATATAGTGGGAAGCTCCTTTCAGGTTTATATTTTCATGACAACAACTTGGACTTCATTGAAAATGAGAATAGTGTTCCTTTTCTGAGCTTAACTCAAGAACCTTTCATTATTTTTGGATGACACTTGCTGTACAGATCTGTCTAGTGGTGATATATATACTTGATAATACATAATGATTTTTATTATTATTATGACAAATGTGAAAGTGAATATGGTACACATTTCTGGAGCATAATTCCAAAGGCAGTTGATAGTTCTTACAATAACCTCAGTGGTGAACTGATTCCTTTTGATGATTTTGGGTTTTGAAAAATACTGAACAGCATTACTTTATTGTTCACTGAATGGAACATACTTGCTTGACAACGATACAAGAATCTGTATCGAAACGTCGCATCATCCGAATAAAGAAGTTGTTCATCCATAAACTTTTGTCCACTGAATGGAAGTTATTCAATGGCAGTGTACCAAACAAAGTGGGGTGTAAGTACGGTAGCCAAATACTATTTCTATATTGTACCAGACTCATCCATTGCAACTGGATATGCATCATTGTTAATTCTTAGTGTTTTTCACATTGCCTGAAAGTGTAATGTTAATGAAGCTGAAACTTTGCATGATCATGATAATGCAGCTATGGCATCTTTAAGTCATGTTCACAGAATTCTGTTTTGATTTTAACACAGGGCAGACATTCCTTCTTTGTAATTCAGTAGTTCCCATGCAATGGTCATATGGCAGTACCACAAACCGACGTCAAGAACTTTAGTTTGATATACTGCAACTGCCTCTGTCTTTTCTGTGTGCATCTATTAACATTTAGCACTCCTTGCTAGTGTGAGCTAATACTGGAAACATGTTTGATACAAGAATGCTTCAGAATACTGCATGTCTGATGTTCTCTACTGTATACTCAAAGGTCTGAATTGCTAGTTTACCATGGCACACATAATCTTAAAAGTACTTATGTTCATTTTTATTTTATGTCATTTCAAAATTTACCTATTTTATGAAGACTTTGAGAAACATCAAACTTTAAACAAATTTACAAACAAGTTATCATTCAAGTGTTTCTGTTACAGTGGACTTTGCCTTGAAGGTAATCAAGTGGTCAGATAACAGGACAATCAAACTTCAACTCTGGGACATAGCAGGTAATATAGTAATGATAAAACAACATATATTCTATCCTGTCCATGAACTTATCATACAGAAGCACAAACAATGATATAGTAAGCGGAAGCTGAGATACTTATTGTACATTCACATATACCATGTATACACATGGTATCCACAAAGCTGGATATTGGAAAGGGTAATGTCTATTCAACATGCTTATACTTTTGTCTATTATATCGCATTTTGTTTGGTGAGCCTTGTCATGTATTACCAATCCTTTTCCGCATATGAATCCTAATGTCACATGTAACCAGGGGAGATAACACTCATTAAAACGTATGCCTGGAGCACATGGCCAGAACTGAGTGTTGTGTCATGTATTGGATTAAATTCCGGAAAGCAATAAGCTGTAACTGACAAAGTGATCACAAGCCTAGCTTAGAAACAGCAAATATTCTATTACTAAATGTGGTAACCGGTGCACATGCTAAACATATATGCAAACAGAAAAAGGTGGCTGTGCATAAGCATAACATATAATTGTATCTCTATGGAGATGTTTTCAACATAATGGAAACGAGAGATTTGCCATCGACTCATGATAGAGGTCGGCAAGACAATCACATTTGGCTGACCCATCTTAAGGAATTGATTCCAGACTGCCAATTTTACTGCTTGGACCATTCCTGGCTTACATCCAATCAGTTCCAGGACTGTACAAACCGACTGAGGGAGCACAACATCTGGCCCTGACTGCCTGCAATAAGTCCAGTTTTGCTGCAACGTGACTAACAGGCACATCTTAGCTGGTGCAGATAGCATCTATGGTACTGGAGATAAGATTGTGATGGTGTTTTGTTCACTGACAGTGAGGTGAATTGTATGCTGACACGTATGTTGTTCAATGTCTACAGTTTGCAGGGGGAGCATCACATCTCAGGGTTGACACAACATGTCATTGTCAATGGCAACCTGACAGGTCTGTGATACAGGGAAGAGATCATTGGGCCTCAAGACACAGACATAACCTCACACTTCAGCCAGAAAATGCCTGTCCACATGTCGCTCATATCATGACAGATTTCCTGAAACAGCAGAACACTCTGGTACTCCCCTGTACAGCTGTTTCCCTGGACCTGTCCCCTATCGAGCACGCTTGGGATGAAATGGAGCAACGTTTAAGCCCAGAATCAACCCCTTGATGTTAGCTGAAATGGGACAAGTGTTGGTTCAGACATGGAGAAACATTTCCCCAAGCTTTCTTCAATTGCTTCGTGTCAACTATGTGTTGTTGTCAAGCCTGCATCAATGCCAATGGTGGACACACGATACTGAATTTGTCTCCAAGGGCGTGTCACGATGCCTAATGTCATATCATACAGATTTCGATATTATCCTGTCAACAGTTAAAGAGTGATGAAGGAAAACACCACAAATCATGTTATTATCTCTTTGCATTTAAAGATGGCTGTTCTGAAGACATTTTGGTTTTTCACTAAAACTGCTCACTCAAACGTACCCAGTGTAAGGGTATATAAGACGGTGGAAAATGACTGGCCCATTCTTCCAAGGCATTAGACTTTTAGGACTGATTTGTTTTTAGGTATTAGACTTGTAGGGTCATTTTGCTATTGTGGCATTAGATTGTGGCTTTTGAGCATTACGTTATTGTAATTGTATTAGAATATTGTAGTGTTTAGAGGTTAGACAATTAGCAGTATTTAAACGTTTCATTTAAGTTCATTGACTTCACTTAGAACCAGATTAAGAGAATCATGTTTAGTTAATCATCCACAGTTTTCTCACATGTAACAGTTGTCACATTTAAGTGCTTGTTTAGGCCAAAGGTAAGTATTTGAAATTAAATTTAGTTGATTAGATTTCAGTTACATTTGTTATCTCCTCCCAAAATTGGTAGATATAGCAAACACAACCTAAAGTGGTGCCTTTTTGCTATTTACAGACTTTTGTGAAGTATAATTTTCTCGGTTTCCATGGAAACGATTCTGACTGAGTCTCAAAAGGGAAGGGTAGGCTTCGTTTCCAGAGCTCAACTCGAAAACTTTTCAATATCTTTCAACAGAACTTGGCAGATATATGAGGCAGATCTTGAAGTACTGCCTTTTGCTATTTACAGATTTTTGGCATTTATACTTTTCATGATTTCCATGGAAACGATTTTAGACTAACTGTCAGTTGATTTGTTTTTTCATTTATGTGGGGGCCGGGGGATATGTCATCTTCTGATGACTCTTGTTTGATTCAAAGAAGACTGTTCTTGACCTTTTATGTTTTAAATACTGTAGTAATTGGACCATATCACTATCAGACACTATCAGCAACAATCCTTGAAAGTTCAGTAGACTAATTTCATATTATGTCCTTGCTCTAAAACCCAGGAAAAGATACTAAGGTAAGATCATTTCTATTTACTTTAATTTAACAGAATATGAGGCCTGCAGATTTTCATCAGAGACAATATAATTTATTATCAAAACACATTCTCCGTTGGACGGGTGGCGTTGACGTCGCATACAACACAAATAATAAAAATTGTTTTGGGTTAATGGTCATGAGCGTGGCGGTTCTTGGAGGGGCCCTAACTTAATAACTATGGAATAGGAGTTAAATCGGGCGACAATGGAGTAGACACCAGCAGCAGCAGCAGGATATAGCATTGGCAAACGAAGTTGCAGCAGCAGGATATAGCATTGGCAAACGAAGTTGCAGCAGCAGCAAAATGATAGGTAAAGATATACGTCCGCTGAGAAGCAGGAATTTATTTCTATGCTAAAATAGTGCATGACCGTGTTTAACGTCCACGCAGGACTCTGAAAAACTGATATGCCATTAAAATGTTCTAGAAATTGTTACCGCAATACCAAGTCATCCTTGATGCCCTTTGTAAGCCAACATCTGTGAAATGGAGACTTTTACTTGCACATCTCGTTGATGAGACATCGACAAAATGCCCGTCCCATGGGAACGGCACGACACATGAAATTGAGTTTACTGACAAGAGACTGGAGTCTGGTTACCTTCTTACCCAGCCACCATCAACAATTTTGTTTTGTGGGATTCGAACGTGCCTGGCAATTGTGTCTAGCTCCAGGCCCAGGAAAGTAATTTTTGTTGTAGGTTGAACAGTTTTCTCAAGTGCCACAGGGACATTGAAGTGATTCAGTACATGCATACAAGATTTTAAATTATCTTTCGAAAATAGCGCATGAAATAGAGCATCCGAATGGTAAACATTTATCAAAATAGTACTTGCCGTTAAACTGAATTCCGAGCAACTCCAAGTCATGGGGATGGACTGGTATGATGCGGAACGCTGATTTGATGTCAAACTTTGCAAAGAGGGCGCCCTCTCCCAACCGTTGTACTATCTCTACAGCTTCGTCAAAGCGTGAATATGAAACAGAACAGCCTTGTTGGTTAATGTTATCATTGATAGAGTCATCCTGCGGCAATGATAAATGGTGAATCAAGGAAAATTATCAGAGAGCTTACTGACCGACCCACCGTCTATTTTCTTTGGAACAAGTCCGATTGGTGATACTTGTAATGCAGGAAGCGGTGGATCATCAAAGGGACCAGCCATTCTACCTAGGGTGACCTCTTTGTTCAGCTTTTCAACAACAACCTCCGCACCCACAGCGTCTGTCGCTGATGACAGATTTTTTTACATTCTGAAGACTCGGTACCCTGAAACTTAAGCTTAAAACCGTGCAGAAAGCCATCATACAATGAGTGTGCATCAGAAGGGTTAACCAGTGAATACGAGTGAAGAGACTCCAACATGTTACTTACGCTGACCGGAGTTGGTGCTTGAGACATTTCGTCTATACTGTTGGGATGTATTTGCACCGGTGGCAGCTGATGTTCCAACGTACGCATGGGGACGAAAACAGCTCTGGATGTTGTTACCAGACTCTCCACAGTTCCCGCACTTGTGTGGGTATTTACAGGATTCACATTAAGTTCCCATTGTTGAAGTCCCAACAAATATTGAATGGCAAATCGTGAGGATTATTTTTTGAGAAACTTACCCCAGTATTGGTACGTGGCTTGATCTGTTGGGGTGTCAGCATCTGCTGCAACCAGAGCTCACCGTCAACACGTCCCCACTGACGAGTGGGATGCCTTGCCATTGTGTGCCGGAATTGTTGATCATACACCCTCCATCCAACTCCGCCGAAACGCCAGGCAGCATTGCATATGGATTCAAAGTATGACAACATTCCCTGTAACACACTATAGTTTGGCATGAAATGCATGTGGACCCAGTTTTTTGTAAATATCTCTTCATCCAATGACCCAATCGATCTCAAACTGTGCAAGTGGATGTTTTGTCAGACAACCTAATCACATTGTAAATCACCGATTTTATGCATTTGTATTAAAGAATCTGTCTATGTAACTGTCAACAAAATAAACAGTAGAACGCAGACTGCTTGCAGAGGGAGGGAGCCAATGACCTGTAACAGCGGCAGTGTTGGGTCATAAAGGTCAACGTTCGTCAATGTAGGTCAGCTATGCACATGACAGGTATGAAGAGGTGTCACAGGTCATGAATAGGGTAAGGTGGGTGCCAACTGTTAACCATCATACGGAGTTTGTTTCTCTGAGTTGTTCAACATTAACCACAAAACCCTTTTAGTGAGAATTAAAATCTTTAAATTTGTAATGTTAATGTCATATTTTGTTTATGCAGTGGAAATGCATTTAAAGAACACAGAAAGTATATTTACACTAAATCATTAATCGGACCACCTATGCTTAGAACTCAACAACTGTTAAAGCCCCGTTCCCTCGGACACAAGCACACACAATCATCACACTCATTGAAGAAAAGATTGAATTAAGACAAAAGTGTTATGTTTTGATGTTAAGCAATGCATTTCTAACAGCTTTAAGCATATAGATAGTTAATATTTATATTTTCATGATAATTTTATGTGAAATGAGTGTTTCATGTTACACTATAAGTCGTTGGAATTAGTCAGTGCTGTCATTGTTAAAAGAAGTTATA